CTGTATGACAGGTACCGTAGGATTCCATAGACACTCAAAAGCATAGCATTCTTAAACCTACACAAAAACAATATCTAAAACATGTCCTGCATGTCTAACAGGTGGCCATACTACTGTTATAAAAAGTCAGCAATATGCTTGAAATTGTGACATAATTATGTTTGTATTTTTCTATTACAGGTATTTTTCTTTACAAGCCACCAATCCTGTTGGGTTCAGTGATGCAGTACGGTTTGAAGTGGAGTGCAATATTTGTAGAGAAGGTGGACCATTACCAGACTGCTTTTCTACTTCATTGAGGATTGCCCATAATACTTTAGAAAAGGTGAGTAAAACAGTGTCAATGTGTTCTAATTTGTTTTTTAGCAAACACGTAATCATATACTGTAAACACATTTTTCACCGGCATTTAATTTCACTATTTTGAACAATTTTACTTGGTTTTAAGTTTTACTTTTATTTTACATGTTCAAGTTGCTGGATGTATTGAAATGATGTTGCTGCATTATATTTAGTATATGAGTAGCCAGGCACGCTACCATATTTATCCGGGTATAAGCCCAGGGTCTTGAACATGGAAAATTGCCAAAAAGAAGGGGTGGGCGTTTGCCAGGAGATCCCTGGCAAAAAAAACAAAAATTCGCGAAAATCGGCAACACGCAGTTCGATCGAACTGCGGCAGGGAATAGAACGGCAAATGAAAACATGCAACGGAAATAAATGAACAATATGCAACACTAGAAGTAAAACAAAAATAATGTATTGCTTATAATGTGACAAAAAACCAGAAATAATAAAAATCGACAGTGAGGAATCATTTGAATTAGGATTTTCCCGCCGACAAACACACCCAATACGCGTGAACTCAAAATGAATTAAAATGTCAGGGGTTAAACTGCGTAAAATGATTTCCGGTCTCGACAAATTACGCATCAACCGTCATACAAGATCAATAATAATTTACAAATTTACACAGTAAAAATTATAAAAATTCATAGATGTTTGAAAAAAACTTCTCAGATCTTTATTTGTACGTTCATTGCCATCTTCGTCAAACTCAAAACCCTCAAAGTCCAAGTCTGCGTCACTGTAGCCGTCCAACAAAATCCCTACAACTTATTCCTGAAGTTCGTCGATATCGTCCCACACAATTTGGACTTAGCACTTTTAATCCACGGATTTCGCAGTCTGTCAGCTTGGCACTTTTCATTCATGTCTAATCATAATAAAGAGACAAGAAAAATGGGGTCGCTCTGCTGCGATGGCACACGATGCTT